CTGACAGCCCATTGCAGCGATTTGGGACTACAAATGTGCATCCAATTCAAAGTTTAACGTGCACAACAAGACAGGACAGAGCAGCAGATGAGCCAATTCTAGGCGTCTTGGGCTTAACCTCTTGTTTTCTATGCCAAGAGCAGCGCATCTTCTCAAGGTGATGAGAAAAACTCCTGCACTATGGACGCAGCGCTTGCAAGAAGCGTGAGGAAGCTTGAGAGCGCACAGGACATGGTTTTAACTCTGGATATGCACTGAAGTCAGAATTAAAAAATTAAATAGGCTGACAATACCCATGCAAGTTCCTTTCTAGCTTCCTTTGACAGAGAGACATCACTAGGATGTAACCTTGAAAATGGAAAGTCTCCTGCTAGAAGCTCCTTCTCTTCATTCATTTCCCCAAACTCAACAGGATTTTCTTCCTAACTAAACATCTTGCAGAGGTTTAGAAGCACACCTGGTGATGCCCAAAACACCACTCTCTTTTCATGCTGAAAGGACACTAGAGTTCAAAGCTTTCATCACATGGAGAATGAGGGACCAACATCAGCTACTCAAATGCAGAGGAAGTGAAGGACATGGTGCTAGGCTTCAACTGTGCCCAAACTATGTGAATACCTTCAAGATTAACAGACAAACATTTATGACTATTTCTACTGGAAAAGCTTCCTAAAGACACTAATTGCTTGTTCCTTTTCCTCCCCCTTTCTGATGTCCGCTTCCATAGCAGCTAACCATTATGGACAGAGTTGGTTTCATAGCATACTGCTCTCTACAGAGGTCTCCGTGGGCCCTGGGATGCAGAAAACGCAACACCATTATTGGAAAACATGCATTCAGGGAGTCTTCGCACAAAAATCGGGAGCTGAGCCACTTGCGTTCACAGAAACTCGACTTATCTGTGCATCTGATATTTCAAAGTAGGGGATAGAGGATATTAAAGGAGCCAAGCAGGAGAAATACGCCCAACTCACCAGAAACGGTCTTGTTAGAAGGAGAGGAACTCTGTCTTGAGTACTAACTGGCACCTTTTAACAGCATCATCAATGAGTTGGCAGTGAACATCCCAGCAGTTAAAAATCTGTGGCTGCCTTTTATTAGAAATGAGCTCAAACAGATTTAAAACCGCCTCCTGCCAGTTAAAAACCCAACTTACCGAGGTCTCCACTGAGCAACGCCTCTGCCAAGGGCGGATTGCGCTCCTTCAGCAGGGACAGCTCGTGGGGATTCGCAAGCAACATCTCCCGTAGCAGTGCCGGATTGTCCAAACCCTGAGGGAACGAAGGTGCATCGGGAGGCGACGGGCGAAGACGCTGTGCTGGTGGCTGATGCTGCTGAGTGGATGTCCCAGGAACCGCGATGCTGCTGAAGTCTATCCGTGGCAGACCTTGAGGGGAAAAAAAAGGTCAGAGGCATTGGCACTTCACGTTTACAATTCCGCTTGAAAAACAGAGTGGAAAAAAATGCGGGAAGGATGAGCTGCTCTTAATGCTACAGTATTAGACCAGAATCTGTGAACAGCAATTTGTGACGGAAGCACGGCCACGTACTCAGGTTACTGGGTTAGGAATGCTAGCACGTATTTATGTAACCGGTCTAGCCTTCTATCTGGCCCACTTTTTTATCCCCTGAAATGCACTTACTGAATCGCAGACTAGTTATTTCCAGCTTCACAAACGTGAATATCACACGGAGGGATCGCAAGGCTAAACCCAGAGTCTCTAAGGCACTTCTGAATCTCTCAGATTAAAAAAAAGCAGAGGGGGAGAAAAAAAAAAAAGAAGTAACATTTCTGCAGACCTGCATTGCAGGTACCCATCCTCCAGCTGAGGCAGGAGGATGAAGACCTCAAGCAATGCTCCCACGCCCTTCTCAGCCAGCAGTACCTTCTTTTCCAGTGACATTTTATGACAGGGATTTGCTAGGAATCGCTGCAGAAGGCAGGACAGAGGAGCAGGGCTCCACTCAGATGTTTTTGGAGGAGTCTTCTGCATGTATCCACGACTGCGTAACTGGGTTTGTTAAGATGCAGCTTCTCTGGGTATTTGTCACAGTTCAGATTCAGAGCGCACATCGATACAGCCTTTTAATGTGTCTGAGCCGCACAGACCGCATTTTATTGCGCCATTACACCAAGCGGGAAGGGAACCAGCAGTCGTATGGAAATTCACATGCCTTTACAAAAAGCTGTGCTGAACCAGCTACCTTCCTCGCTTTCTCTGTATTTCCCCAAAAGAACAGTAAAATGGTATTCACTTCCTCGGAATAAAAAACCCCCCACATTAAATAACAAGCCCTTTAGCTAGTTTTAAAAGCCGTCTGCCTCATCCCTAGCCGCCCTCCCTCCCTAAGTGTTTTGCCTAGCGAGGTACTAAAGGAGACCGAGAAGAGACGGAGTTGGTGTTTGATGAATATCGAGATCTTTGCACACTCAGTGACTAGCACCAATCCTTTCTCACCTGGGAAACGGATGGAGGGCCGCGGTTCTACGGTCTCTTTCTGTCGCAAAATCACCACGTCCCCATCTTTCAAGCCATAGGAGGCCAAAGATCTGTTGTTGTCAGTTAGAGGCCGCTCCGCATAGACTATCTGTTCATGGAGAGAGTGCAATGAAAAACACCATGCATGACAAAACAGATAAGATCTTGCTTTTTTTTAATTTTTATTTTTTTAGGAAAGCATTCCACTAAGTCCTCTGGACCCATCTCAAGCTTCAGAAGGGAAGACGTGCAGTTCTCACCACTTGGTGAGAGGTGCCCTGCCAAAGCACCTCTCTACCTCAGGCACAGAAAGACCTCAACAAGTAAGTGGCTGGCCAACGACACAGAGTTGGTCTTACCAAAATCCGACAGTGGTTTCTCGAAACCCAGCATCTCGGAGAAGGGCTGGTCTCTCTTAATTAGAGGCCAATACTATTAAGTGAAAGCACGCCTTGCACCAGGGCTGTTTGCCACACATTTCCAAAATCCAATCTCTATGATTACACAAGTCACGGCCGTTTTCTACAGCCTTACCTCCCCCCAAGTCAGCACCTACTGACCGAGGACCGACTGCGTACATGCAGGCAGCATCGATCAGGGTAGATCCATGGATGATCCAGTCCAATATCCACGATCTCTGCCTTTTCTCACAACATGGTTCCCCAGAATAACCAGTCATACAGGGACCTCAATGATTAGTTCAGTGATTTTCAGTTTACTTCAGTGATGTAACTCTATCCAGACTCGAAGGTTCAGCACCCAAAGACACCACTCCCAAGACTGCAATCAGTCCATGGCAGGGAATTTCATTCCATGGCAGGGAATTAACTTCTTTTGACTATAAAACACAAAGTCACATCATTTTCTATTATGATAATCTGACTTAACAAGGGGTCTGCAGATTAAACATAAAAACATATTGAAATAAAAATGAATAATCACCATGGGAACATTTCTATTAACATTAGATCTGTAATATCTACAGATGCCCTAAATTACAGGGGAGCAAGAAAAATAAAATAAAGATGTGCTTTATGGGAACAAAAGTTCCCAGAAACGGTATCTGCTAAACATTAAGGTTTCTGTGCCTTCACCGGAGCACAGCGAGACTAGGCGGATTGATTCAACAGCCTCCTACACCTGGCAGGAGTCCAAAGCAAGAAGCGCCCAAGAATTCGGCCTAAACACCT